ATGATGGTAAATTATAAAACCAAAAACATACAAGGAAGTCACTCGCGGGTCTTTCTTGTTGGGGTCCAGTGTTCTTCCTTTGAGTGCGAGTTGTCACATGAGTCATCACGTGATGTAGCGTCTTGCATAAATTTGTCATCTTTTCCTATCTCACGCACGAGGTAGCACTTTGGCGATTGTTCAGTCTTTTCTCTCAAAATGACTCGTGTTTTCATCGGGAGATTGGCAATGAATGCCCGAGAAAGCGATGTGGAAAAATTTCTTCGAGGATACGGTAAATTAAAAGACATAAGCTTGAAAAGAGGATACGGATTTGTGGTAAGAGAGAGGGCGAATTTGTTTATTCTTGTAGGAGAAAGCTAAGTACGAGCATGTGAATACTCTGCACTTCTAGACTTTATGATTTTTCAATGTAGGAATTTGATGATCATCGAGATGCTGATGATGCGATTGCAGATTTGAATGGCAAGGAACTGCTGGGAGAATAGTGAGTGAAGTAACGAAAGTTTTTCAGCTAAATATAAATTCAGAAATTAGGCTAAATAATTCATAAGCAACGAAATCAACCTTGTCAGATATTACATAGTACCTCGTAGATGTAACGACTTTATTACTGCAGTTCTCTTTTGTTTTACGGTAGAGAACATATAATCCTGTCTAATTTAAAGATGGGTTACAGTCTTAAAGTACACCACGAAAGTCATTTTCTTTGATTTGGCTTTTATCCAGCCACCTGCAAATAGGCATATATCACGAAGCTGAATTTTCGCCAAAATACGTAGGCTCCCATGGCCTATTCTTGAAAGAAACCGATCAATAATGAAACGAAACACAACGATACCGATGAACTCTTTGTGTTGCTTCAAGACTTGTGTGTTATTAGGTATCACTTTGCCCACACACCACTTTCACTTTGGCAGGGGCCATATTTCTGCTTCTTATGATCCAATTAAGATTACCTCTTAGAATCTAAAGCTGAAGTAACTTTTATGTGTTTTTATTTTTTTTCAGTGTTGCATTAGAGTTGGCCAGAGGAAAGAGGAGTGGTGGTGGTGGTGGGCGTGGTGGAGGAAGAGGTGGAGGGGGCTATGGTGGTCGCAGACCTGTTTGGCTGGACAAGTATTGCGAATATTTTTAAGACACTTTTTTATCCCAAATATAATTACTGTATTTATTTTCTTAGTTTTGTTTAAAACTGGTGAGACTTTGAATTTATACAAATTTCTTTTATTTTGTCCCTACTGGGGGTCAAGGTATGGGCCTCCAGTAAGAACACAGTACCGTGTTATCGTGGAAAACATGTCAAGTCGCACAAGTTGGCAGGTACTTGTTATTACCTAGGTGCATTGTATGTTTTATGAGTATAGAGTTGCATTGAAATCAAATCTGAGTAAATGGGAAATTGGAATTAACATCTGGAGATTCTTGTCACAATGTTGGGAAAGGATCCTCTCCAATTATTCCTCCATGGTGAAAATTTTGCTTTCCCTTTTCAATCACTATAATATATTTTACTTGACTTTAATTGTTTATGTAATTGTGTAATTTGCTATGCTATTGTTGTATTTTCATTGTATAATAATATACCTTATGAATTTTAAGAATGCACAAATGAAGGGTTTGATATAAAATGCCAGGTATTTGTTTAAAGGACCTGTTGATTTGATATAGATGGTTTGTTTTTCCTACAAAAGTTTTGTCAGGGATTGACAGCAGGCAATTAGTTTATGGAGAAGAGATTCCCAATTTAGTATTTTTTCATTTGTTTGTTGACAGGGCGTTAAGGATTAAGCGCTTGATATTCACTAAGCAAAGGTTACAAATGATGTTGGATCTTTTCCTAAACTGAGGGAGGTTCCCTTTGCGTGTCACTGCCTTGCGATGGTTGTGAAAGCTTGCAAATTAACGATGTGAAGTGACTTAATGTGATATGGGTACAGTGATTGATGAGAAGTCTGCTTGTCATCTCTGAAGATACTAAACTAAATCTGTGATATGTGAGAATTTGAAGAGAGATGTATTGTATTGTACACTCAGGTAAGATGGAGGGAAGGCCACTGTCTTCCCTTTCTGGGTTTCAATCCAAAAGAGTTAGCCAATCATTCTCGGCTGTTTAAGACTGAAAGGTGATTGGTAACTTTGATCGCTGTAAAAGAGTCAGGATGAGTGACAGTTTTTTGTTATTAAATTATGACAAATTAATATTTGTTTCTGATTTCTTGAGAACGTCATCAGAATTCTTGCAAACAATTAAACAGTGTGTTCACCAGTATAAGGAAATTATTGGTTACCCTTTGAGCAGAGTCTTCCTTCACCTCCTCCAAAGAAATGGAAGGTTCTTTTTGGAGGAGGTAGAAGACAACTCTGCTAGCAAGATGGTTATATGTGTAACCTTATTTAATTGTTCAAGGAAAAGAGTAGTTTAACACAATACTTTTATTTGTTAGTCATGGTTGCCACAAATCATAAAATGGCTGGTGAGAAATTCTTCATTGAGGAATAATCTTGAATATTACATGTTGGATCTTTGGAAACTTTTCTCATTGGGGAGATCACAAAGTCTTTGAATATTAGAGAAAATGATTTGTGTGGCAAACATGTTAGACCTTGTATTTGTTTCTTTCGAGCTAGACTGTCATTGAATCACTAACATTCTCGTCTGATTATCTGTTAGGATCTGAAAGACCACCTTCGCCAGGTCAGCAATGCAAGACTAACTTATGCTGATGCACATAAAAAGAGAGTTGGAGAAGGGTGAGGATTTTTAAAATAAATTTTATAGTATTTTTTTGGTTATAGGGTGTAGCACTTTTTCAAAGAAATTTTGCCTGATCACCCTTGAACTGTCTCAGATTTGGGTGCATCTTATAGCTAAGTATTTTCATGCAATGAAATTTGAGAATGTCCTATTTTCTAATTTAAAAAACAAAAGATAAATAAGTAAAAGGCTAGGAATATTGGTTATTAACTTTACTTGACTTGGTGGTTCTGAAAAGAATCATTTATTCATACTTAAAGAAACAAATTCAAAAAATCAAGGTGTGTCTTATAACTGTGAGTGTATAACCAGAAAAAAAATACGGTATTCAACAAAATATTTGAGGATTAATAGCAACGTAGCAAAGTTTGCATAAAATTTACCAAAATTGTTTATTCATTAAAACATTAGTGAACGTGTGTACTGAAACTTTTGAATGTTTTCATAGATGTGTAGAATTTGAGAGTCGTGAGGACATGCTGGATTGCCTTAGGAAAGCTGATGATACAGAACTTGGAGGCAAAAGGATTCGCCTTGTTGAAGTGAGTGTGCGAGTCTTTTCAAGAGGATGTTCATTATATTCCTTCATCATTTTTGATTAGAATTCGTTGGCATTAAATACACAAGGTGAACACTTTATGCATGCATTGTATGAGTTTGTCACCTGGCCAGCATCCCTTGTGGCCTGAACTAACAATTTTTTTTAATCTTGAGAAATTTTTGCTCACTATAATGTCAATAACATGTATAGTGTTAATAACATGTATAATTGTTACTTGATCAATTTCAGTGCATGCCCTTTTCAAATTAGTTGATGAACTACTTCTAGATTTGTGCAACCATTATATGTTTGAAATGAAAATAGAAGGTAAAACATTGTTTCTCTTTCACAGGATAAAGGCCATCATAGCTCCCCTCCGAGACGCAGTAGTTACAGAAAGAGCTCTCACTCAAGGTCTCGCTCAAGGTCCCGTTCACGATCTCGATCTCGTTCTCGCTCTCGATCACCGAAGAAGCGTTCAAGGTAACTTGTGTTGTATTGTCTAACACAAGTTGAATGTACATGTAGGAAGAGTGGGTCAAGAAAAGGGGTGACTTGTGCTCATTACAATCTTTGTGTTTTATGTAGCTGAACAATTGTAGTTAGTGTTATATGAAAAATAATGTTATCAGAAATGCACTGTTTTTTTATTGTTCATTTAACTGTTTGATCCATAGGTCTTACTCTCGCTCCAGAAGTCGCTCTGCATCAAGGTCCCCAGCCCGTGCAACAAAGCGTTCACGAACACCTTCAAGGTCTCCTGAGCCAGCAAGGGCTGCATCACCTGACGAAAGACACGACGAAAGACGCGATGAAAGACGTGAAGAAAGTGACGATTGATTGTCATCATTGGTTTAAGTTTACATAGGCTACTTTTGAACCAGTGTTCGTTCAAAATACATCTCATAGAAAACTGTCCATTGAACAATTTTTTGAAGTTTTTAGTGATTGCAAATGTACCACATTTGTTAGAGATTTTTTCTTGTGTGTGGGCTTGAATGTCTGAACCAAACACAGAATAGAAGTTCATAGTGGAAGAGTTTATGTAAAGTTCTCTCTACTCTAATCAATGTCAGTATCTAATAGAGATTTTCAGTCGAATACAGTTTTGATGATCAAAATTGTGTTATATTTAGAAATTTTGTACTGTTTGCATTTGATTTAATTGTGTTGTTGAGTATATTAAAGGAAACACTCTTCATGTAAAATGAGTTGTTAGAGGTCATTTGAGTGACCACTCTGATATAATGGAAAGCTGTAATTCTGTTGTTTTAAAATAAAATCTTAACCAGATTTGATCCTATCTTGAAGGATTATGGCTTAATGTCATACATGTACCTTGCATGTCTGTTTGTCCCAGTTTTACTTGGCATCACTTATCAGAATGCCACCTCCTAAGTACATCTACATGAATATGACAAGTGCACAGCAATATCATTCCACAATTGGCATCCTGCTAAGTCTACAAGCTATCATCCTTTTCACCATTCCCAGGGAGGTAGAAATCTTGTAAAAATAATATTTTCTACACTACATTCTTCTGCTTTAAAACCCAAAGCATTGGCAGGCACTTTTTAATGAAGTACTGGAGTATTCATTTGCAAACAATACTGCAGGCCCAGTTTAATAAATCATGGACTTTCAAATTTACTATTTGGGTAAATAGTTGCTGAATATAACAGAGAAGAACAAAACACTTAATACTGTCAAAGAGTTTTATTCAAAGTCCGCATTCTCTGGCTTGATGCTTAACTTAGATTTACTCTCAGTAAGAGCAGCAAAAATTACATGTAATGATCTAGAGAATCTCATTTAAAGTGGTATTAAATACTAACAGTGACTCATCACCTGATAAGCACACTTCTCTGTAAAGTATTTAGGAAAAAGTTGTTGATGTTTCCAACATTATCAAAGTCCCATCATTAACTTATATCTTAGATGTTTTGACAACTCAACTCTACATTTTCATGTTTTGTGTTTTATTAACCTCAGATTTCAAACTTAATTTAGTTAAAAATAGTAGAGTATCAATGCATCTGGTTGTGCCTTCACAAATTCTAATTATCGGCCTCAGTTGTGAATTCCAACATAAAACTCCCTCTCTAACTACTCAAAATCCAATTTTAAATTCTCCTTTTCGATTGCTATACATTCCTTAGTTTCAGTTGCCAGAATTGGGTTTACATCAATTAAGACCTTGTGCTTGTTCACTGGAAATGTCTTTCAAGGGTCCATCAAACATTTTAGCTCACAGTAAGTACAATTGGCTAAAGTGTGCCAGGTGTCTAAACATGCCCCTGCTAAAACTGGGAAATGTCTATTAATATTTGTCAATATTCAACAATTAATAAGGCAAAAAAGTCCTCTGCAAATAGTTGACTGAGCACATTTCATTTAAGGTGGTTTGAAAAGTATTTGAAGGATAATAAGCACAATGGCTTTCTCTGGGCTTGACATGTTGCATGTATATATGCCCTTGGACATTTGCACCTTGAAGCTCACAGTTTCCTCAAGCTCTGCTTTCATAAAATTGTTCACTTCTTAGAACAGACAATGTCCATGACCAAATATCACAAAAAATTTTCACACCAAATGGAGGTTAATATTTAGATATTTTAAAGAGATGATAGATTGCTTATTGAACACATCTGAAACTCAACCTCTCAGCTTAAAAAGAGGATTGACACAAATCTAAATACTGGGAGCACAAGGTAAAGTGAGAGTCAATGATTCCTTGCAAATCACTTCGGTTGTGTTAATTGGTTTTGTTAACTGAGGGCTGTGTATGGGTAAATTGATTAATTAATCATCTTGTCATGATGTGGCAACTTGTTTCAGTGGTTGCTCGAGGTATTCAGCTAATGCTTCTGCCTGTTCAAACACAAAATAAACTTTACTGTAAAAAACTTAAGTTAAATTTAAACCTGTACTAACTGGTCTATTTCTTTTGTTCACAATTAAATGTAGTGGGCATTTAACAGAAGTAATATTGACAATACCTTTGCTTTGAGCATTCCTAGTCCTACAGATTGTTGTGCATAAAGACAAAGGATTAGATTAGCCACCCTTGTGATGACAACTTTTCCCTCCTTAACAAAAAAGAAAACATCAATTATTACAAACTCAATTAATGAGCATAACCATTCAATTCTAGTCTTGAAGTAAGACATTCAGTATTAAAGGAATCTCCTAAACCTGTCATAGTTCTACCATAGAACTACTGAATCAACAGATGTGCAACATTTATCTTAACATGATGGCACGTATACAGAAAAACAGGAGTTGATGTGTGAAGTTCTTTGGTAGAATTGCCTTATTTTATTAAATCATGGACTTGCAAATTTATTATTTGGTAGATAGTGCCTGGAGAAAATAACAGAAAAGAACAAAACTCTCAATACTATCTCAGAGTTTTATTCAAAGTCTGCAGACTCTGACTTGACACTTACTTTGCATTGCTTTCAGTAAGAACAGCAAAAATTACACTTGCAATGATCTGGAGATTCTCACTTTGAGTACTGATATGACTCACATCACCTGAGAGGCACATCTCTATGTAAAGTATTGATTCTCTAAGAAAAAGTTGTTGATGTTTCCCTTAGATTTGGTGTAGTTAACATGAGGTGCAATCAGGAAAATGCAAAGTATTCTTTCAAATCCAGTGGCCCATATCACTAGAAAAGTGTTCTCTTGAAACTCTTTAGTAGCCAGGCATAAAAAAACAACACCAGATAAAATGCATTTCAGATCAAAACAGGTAATTTATTGTTATGTAAACTAGCAGGTGCCTCAGAAACCAAAGGCTGGTGCATCTCCCATGAGCTAAATGTTAGCTGATAAAAAAAATTGTGAATGTCTATATTGACATGTGTATACTTGCAACCACTACTAAGCACTTTTTAACATATTTGCACCTGACTCTAAGTAAGAGGCCAAACAGCCAAAAGTTAGAAAGTATTCATGAACAGACTAGTTGGTATAAGATAAAGTGAACAGATACAAACCTCGCAATCCATGAAGATCATTTTAAGCTCATCACTATGGAAGGCCATTTTTCCGTTCTTTTCATATGCTGCCCATATACTGGATGCAATGGCTGCTGTCACTTTAGCATCCTTATCACCTGATCCAGCATATGATAACAGTGAGCCCTCTTGGTTGATAAGTCTAAGGGGGATATTTTTACAATAAAGTAAGCAACATACACAATTGTCTACTTGTGAATAGTTAGGTAAATAAATAAACAAACAAATAAATTGGATAAATCGTATTTGGTAAAATTTTCCATTTAAAAATTTGTTGTAAACCAGTAGGGTGTAGTATGGTTTATACATTTTCGTTTGACTTGTTTAAAGTAATTTAGTTAAAAGATACATCCAGGCACTGACACCAGAGTATAGATAAGCACAAGTAACAGTCATCTCATGTTGCCAAGCATTATTGGGATGTACACTGTTTTGACCCAAAAGATTTGCCCATCACGTGAATAATTAATTAGAAAATGAAATCAGTCCTGATGTTCAATGAGACTGATTTAGAGTAAAACTAACAGTGCCATATACATTGTAGCAACTATCTCTGACAGTTTTTCGTATCATTGTAAACTAAACTGAAAAAAAAAGGATAATGGTGCTGCCAAATTTTTATTTTTGGTTCAGTTTTAATTACTAATGTAACATTTGGTCCTTTGGAAATTCTGTTGAAGGTTGTCTGTGGAAGAACTAGCAAAGATTAATTAATAGAAACTGTTTATTTAGTAACACTCAGGATAAACATATATGTGGTAACTGCTAAGTTCGAAGCAAACTCGCTTTATTTTACTTTCATACCTCGTGTGATCATCAAATCGTTACCTTCCATGACACGTGATTTCTGAACCATTCTCTGAGTTTAATGGTCATGAATAGGTCGCTCTTTCATTACACTGATGTGCATGCAAGCCTTCACATGAGTAAGTGTTATAGCAATCGAGTTTAATAACCAGCATTATATTCGTCCATCATCCTTAGAGTGTTCTTTACCCTTCATGAAGAATCTTCATTACCTTTAGCGGTTGAACTCAGTGTTTAGGGGTCAATCTTTAGGTGTAGAAAAGCTTTATCTGGAAGACTTACAGTGAGCTGATGACTCCTCCACTGATTGCCTGGCCCAAGATTTCAGTGAGAACTTTCGGCTTTAGCATCCTTACGGTTTGAGATTACGGTAACTCTACTCCACGTTTATCACTGAGCACATAAACATGTGACATTTACCGGCTCAAATATTCATTTAACTATCTGTAACCCACTGATCTGCGAAGGAAATCTCTACACATCACGTGCCTTTCCGACTTTTCCGAGCATTGCGTCACGTATCCGTCAGTTAGTGTGGCATTCAATTAGAACCAGTGTCCAGGCCTTCACTGATATCCACACGAAGTACAACAACTGGGACTGCTGAAAACTGATTTGGAAATATTAGAAAAGTTTGATTTACTAACAGTTAACATTCACTCGCAAAGCTTTCTAAACGATTTAATACTAAAGTGACTTAAAGATAAATCGACCTAATGGAGAAGAAATCCCACGCAAAACAATAAAATGCTCGCAACAGCATTAAATGACTTAATTGAGGAAGACCTTAGCATGCTGTACAATTTAGTATCGAGAAAAACTAACCATCGATGACATCCTATTTTTAACAGTACATATGTATTTTCAAACTCTGTATAGAGAAGATTCATTACACTAAACTTAATGGAAATCTGCATTCATTTCAGAGACAGGGTACACAAGTCAGGTCATTTTGAGTCAGCTAAAATTTCAAGCAGGATTTTGTAAGTGTCCAGAAGAGAATCGATTGCATAATGAAAGTTATCGTTGCCGTGATGGTTTCTCGGGAACTGATCTGTTGTGGCAGAGGCATTTTCTCTACCAATGATTCAGTAAATAGTTTAAAGCCGGAAATGTTTTTCGGGCGGAGTGACCGTTCGCGGTCTTCGCGTTCAAATAGTCCTGAGGGATAGTTCTCTTAATTACCCTTAGCTGAGGCTCCATATCCGCCTTTATCTCGTATCTTGTTCTCGAAACTTCCTTCGGCCATGGAGTGCAGACTTATTTCCTGCACAGCGGCTGCCTACCTTTTGAACAGACCGATAATACCTCTTTCATGTTGGAGGGTAGCCTGCGCTGCTGGCGGTCTGCGATTTTGGGGGCGGAGAGAACAAAAAATTCATTTTTCTCTCCGCCTCCCAAATCGCAGACCGCCAGCAACGCAGGCTAGGTGGAGGGCATTAATTTTATTCTTTTTATGTGCACGTAAATCACTCTCTTGGCTTCGCTTTAGAGTAGAATTGCAATATTTATTACACAAGCATGTCGTCGAGGTCAGGAAGGCTAATTTGCATGAATTTGAAAGCATAACAATTTAGCCTTCCATTTATGAAAGAGGTTCATCTATCCCAAGATTTAGCTTTTCTTATACATTTCATTCAATTGGTATTACTTTTCTTTAAGAAAAGTTATTCTCTCCAGCCCGAGAGATCGGGTATCAACTCCCACTGTATTTAATGGTAAATAAATGGAGATAAATAAAGTTAGAATTGTAACTAATGCTACGCTCAGAGAAAATAATGACACAGGAAATCAAAGGCACCATAAGATATTTTAAGTTTATTTAAAAATGCAATATCTTAATATGTCACTTTTGGGAGAATTACATGTCACCAATAAAAATTTCTTCTAGTTCAAACGTAACAAAGTAGTTCTTGGTTAAAACATAGGATAAGTAGCGAGCCTATTCCAAATATACAAACGTTACTTCCTTGATTTATAAAATTTGACTTGTATTAATATTTATCTTATCACAAACTAGCTGTACTCTATTATTTAACCAAGATGATTTGTTGATTGATTTAATAAAAATCATCACCAAATCACTATACTCAAAAGTATAGAGCATATATCTCTCATAGAACATGAAACAGTCACTCCTGCTCAAAACAATCTCGAAAAAAGCATATGTGTAAAGATGACCGTTTTTCTCAACGTTACAAAAATTTCAAATTCAGAAAATTGAATCGGAAGTGAGGACTGCTAACAGTGTCAGTTTGTTAGGGTACGCTTACACAACAGTTGTCACATCTGACCAATCACAATTATGGCAACTCGCTTATCAGTTGGCCATTTCAACTTCAAGCGAGGCCCACTGTGCCTAAGCGGAAGAAAACAAGATCATTCCGAGCAAAAGGCAAGCTTGATTTTTATTCTCCTGGGAACAGCGACCTTGTCTTCCTTAGTCGCGAGAGGATGCATGACGTTTCATTTTTAAAATATGTTTAAAAGTTCAATAAACACGATTTCATAGCTCAAAAAGCGAACTAAATCAGCGATAATAACCTCTAATTTGGCACTTCATTTGATTAACCCTCGTCTCGTAAATTATATCAATTCACTAAAAACTTCTTAGACTATATACCATGACATCGTCTAGAAAGTGGCACCAACCTAGAGCCTTGAAATACAAATAAAAATATCAACTTCCTGAAAGAAATGCCAATGTAAATAAAACCAACTCAACGGACGAATAATCTGCCTGTATCTTGCGTTATGAACAACCGAGCCTAACTCGGATGAAAATTCTTGAAACTTGACTCATCCTGCTCATGTTGTCCACTTGCGAGAGCCTCCCCCCCTCCCCTCCCCCACACACAGACTGCCCTCTCGTCTTCGCACGATGGAGGCGGACGGCTATCTTTATGTCTTTATGAATCATTTTCGAAACGGCCACTAATCCTAATAATGGTAATAATCAAATAATAGCCAATTTAACTGTACAAAAGCCTACTATTAGCTTTGTCAGTCATTGGCATTATTGCTTAAATGTTATTTCCTTAGATGGCCACGTTTACTTGCTTTCTCTCTTAAGTGGTTTGGACGGAGGTGGTGGAGGGGCGTTCGTTGGTCTTGGTGGTCCAACTGAAGTTGCGATGGGCTTGGGACCGGCTAGAGGAGGAGCAGAAGTGCTAGGGCCTGGACTCGAAGAGCCCATGAATTTGACCAAGGCTGGAGGGGTGCCTTTTTTCTTAGGTGGAGGGGTGTTAGTTTGTTCCACATCAATAACCGCTGGCTTGGCTGTTTCTGATTCTTGGGAACTGAAATAAGTATCACACAAGGGAAAGACCACACTAAGTTGTCACTGAAATCAGGTAATGAATTAAAAAAAAAAAACCATTTATGATACAGATGGAAACGTTATGCCTGCCAGCTGTAAGAGTTAACCAGGCTCAGCCAGCGATAAGTCGGGCAGTATTCTGACAAAAGAACTAGAGAAAGCCAGATCAGAAAAAAAAAAGCAGTTAAATGCCTCCACCTGTATTTCAACCAGTTAATCGTGAGGATAAAGTTGCAATCTTGCACCCACCCAGCTGTTTCGCTGCCAGCTTGGACGCCCGCCACTGAATCAGATGATGCCTCAGATGGTCCGTTCATTTACACGAAATACTTTCCTAGTTTTAATCTTGTCATACTCTCTTTATGCAATGATAAAAAACAACAAAACCAAAAGGAACTTACTTTTGGGCGTGAGTGCCAGAGTCATCGACGCATTTCATATTCACAAGACTCACCACCTCTTCTAAGAAGTCGCCTGTAACACTCTTATAATCTCCTGGGCCTTTCTTGCACTTCTCAGGAAAACCCTGGTTCACGCCATTTGTCGCTGAGGCGGTTTTACGAGAGAAGTCGATTTCTGCAGGGAAAGAACCATTCAACCTTCCGTGAATAAGTGAGAAGTACAAGGTAATTAAGCCGTAACTATGTACTGTGCTAAAGTCATTGCTTCAATGATAACAGGGACTGCACAGCAAGTTTTCGAGTGGGGGGGCTAAAGAAGAATGCGTGAAGGAAAATTTTTTTGTTAAATTATTTTTTTGTTTAATTTATTTTTATTCTTGCAAAAAAGTGGGGGGGCCATAGCCCCCCAGCCCCTCCCTCTGCGCGGTCCCTGGGTAAGCAATCTCTTCGCCGACATGAAAACTCCCTGACTTGACCAAAGATGTCGGCGAGTTGGTTGATGGTGAGTTAACCTATCGGCGACGTGACCGGGTACCGCTTTCCGTTTCAGTTCTGAACAATCGATAGAAAACTCTACAAAATCAGTTTGGAATTTCGTGGCTTGAATGAAACATAGCATGTCGACTGATGAGGGAAAATTAACTAGACACCGACAAATATGCAGAAACAGGTTTATCTTAACGTAAGATAAACTTTACTTACCCCCTGGAAAGAACCAGCTGTAATGTTGAATTAACGCCTCTACAATGGATGACTGGACACCAGTGTGTTGGACGTTTACACCACTAAAATTAAACGGAACAAACTTAATTTTAAACAGTCATGGACACTGCACGAAAAAGTTGTGTTTTCCACGAGTATCTAGTTTAACTGTTACAGTAAATGTTCTTCGTATGGGTGTTGCTGAGTGGCTGACAGGACATCAACAGGGGACAAAGAATCTGGACTAACAGATCAAGCGAAAGTACTTTGAGGCATGCGCGTATTGAAAAGTAAGGCACTATTTCCTCACTATTGCAAAGATAAGGAGATCAAATACATAAAAATAACATTTTAAACAGACAACTTTACTTTGGAAACAGTTCTTGGGTACTCTCACCCTTCACAAGATGCTAAGAACAGAACGACGGCGTACATTTACAAAATTCGAATTAAATGATAATTAAACAATCAGTTGCCGGTAAGTTTCTTGAATTAGTTCGGTTGACTCGTTAATTCTTACCCATCGTCCTCTGGAGACCAGATGAGGTTGGGGGCTATGACAATAGCAATATTACTTGCACTCATTTTATTTACATCACTGTTTTCGGACAGCTTCCCAAGGAAAGTTATCAGGTACCTGTGAACACATCAAACACAAACCTCTCAGTTATTAAAGAACACTGACAGACAAAGTTTACACTAATTGATTTACTGCTTTATAAATAATTAATAAAAGAGTATTCCTCACAAGTGAACTGAATAATCATGAAGTTAACATTTTGCTGGAGACATCCTGATCCACCATTTAGGCAGAAATTTAACACATGTACCTATACATTCGTTTCTTCCATGGTGAAACGTGCATCTCCCGAATTATACAGAGGCACGACCATAATGTATCACTGTAAGTCAAATTAAATTAGCTGCCTCCACAGTGAGGTTTCACCTGTCGATTTTCCAAAAAAACAGGTATACATCACTGTTTAGCACTCGCAAATATTCTCACCTTAAGTTGGCTTTATACAGAGATGGCATTTTTTCTACAATAGTCCAATATGCTTGTAACCTTGTACCATTATCTTGAATCCTGTAATCAAAAAAAAGTATACAGTCACCTCATAGGAGGTAAATCACTGCCAAGCAAAGTACTGAGGAACTGTCTAAAAATGTGTCTGCCTTACATAAAAAAAATGGCTGAAGAAGCCCCAACCACCTGTTTAAAAGTTATTGGTTGGAAAGAATTGAGTTTTTGTACAACACAAAGTGTTATTCTGAAAAGGTGTGTTCAGAGAAAGAGATCTAAACGAGGCAAGACTTTTTCCACCTGTCACGCCCTTTAGTGTACCCAAATGTGGGTCACACTTGTGCTATCTCTAAGGCTTAGCAAGTCACAACAACCATAACCTTGCACAACATGCATTTTCAATAGTTTACATTAAGGAACCATGGTCTTTCCTTACGTTGAAGCCTGTATCCATTCACTGTATAGCTTAGAAGTCATTAAGGGCTCAGGAAGCTCTCTAAGATACTGCTTAAGCGCTCCTGTAAAGAAAGAAGTAGATTAGTTTTAAAAACTAAAAGGACATTATTCTTTTTTACAAGGACAAAAGATGTATGTGGTGTAGTTTGATTGCAATTGTTCATTTCAGTTTTGGTGCTGTTTAGCAAGTATCACTGATGTTACAGTGATTATAATTGATGATATGATACCTGTGACAACATGAACATCGCCTTCAAACTCTGATAAGTCTACCAAGCCAGCATCAAATTCAGCCTGAAATTTTGTAACAAACACAATGATGCACAAGGTAATATTTAAATTGATGCCACATTTATTTATTATTACTGATAAAATAAAAGTAAAAACAATCAAGGAATAAATGAATGAACAAGTAAACCAATGAGTGAACAGGTAAACTGGAATCGTGTTACAAATCATAAAATTTATTTCAAACACTAGCTCTTTCGCTTTTCTCAAATAACTGAGAGCCATGAAAAAAACTTACTGTAAGTTTTCTGATTTTGGCAGTACTACCTGCAAGTCTGAATAGTCCCTGAAAAGAAGAAAAGAAAATCAATAAAAACAATTATTAATTACTCCCTACAACAATATTAGCCACCAAGTCAACATGGGTGAAAATCAGATTTAAAGCTGTGTTTATACCAGTGACATAGTAGGATAAATTGCAGGAAGGGCACAGCCTTACTTGTTCATCAAGGGCTTCTCTATACAGGAATGTGGCACATTCTTCAATCACAAAGGCTATTTCTCTTTCCTGTATTCTAAGATGGTCCTCCAGTGGACAGCCATACACTGGTTGAAGTTCTGATTCATCTAAATGCATCAGAAAATGACGTAAAAAAATACAGTTAGGAACATATGCCCAATCCCCCTAACTCACCTATTTGTTTTACTTCTCTGAGGTCAAATCAGAGAAATATGTATCACTATGTTATACCTTGTTGCAAAAACCAAAACCAATATTAGAAAGAGCCAAGTTTACCTAGGAGAGACTTGAGACCAGGCAAGACTTTATCAAGTACTGACGTGGCTCTTTGATGATAATCCAGCTGGGCTTCAATGTACTGAAACATGAAAGAAGCATGTAAAATAGTTCACCTTGAAATAAGTGTCTGGCTCTACAATTAAATTAACTTTATTACAAAGAAACTAGCATTTAGCTCTTAGATAGTTATAAACAACACCTTTATTATCCAGTTGGCATATTCTCCTTCCCTTGAAACAAATTTTAAAAGTTCTGTGGTGAGAGTGTCCTGGAAAAAGATAATTCAAGGTACTTGTTATATGAACAAAAACTATAACCACATATTAAATTTCATAATTTTAACTACCCTGTAATTATTTCAATAAGCTATTGTGGGTTTAAAAGAAGCCCAATTCAGAACAAACTAGGTAATACTATTTAGTTAGGATGCAAAAGTTTGGCTGACATCCTGCCAACAATCTGCTGACAGTTGGTTGGGGGAGCTCTCCTTCAAAATCATAAAGTCTGATAAAAAAAAAAGTTGTACAGAAGATCAGGACTGTTCTTGGTTCTTGTTGTTCTGACATGTCAATTCAAGTGAATGCAAGAAACAACCAATGCACAGATTTCTTTTAAGTTATGTAACTATCAAACAAGGTCACATGTTTATTGATAGTTTCATCTGTAACATAGAACTAATTCAAAGCAGGAACACTCACTTGACAGGCTTCAAATTTGGCAGTTTCTTCCTCATACTCATCCTTCAGTGCATCTGCCTTTGATGCGGCAGCTAACATGTCCTTACTTGCTCCATGGGAGACTTTGACAGCAGCTGTCCATCTTAAAGTGTAACATTCCAAATTTCAGGAAACAAAAGGAAGGTTATAATACCAAGATCAAATTGCACTGAATATAGGCCTACAGCTACTATGGGAGTTATCAAATTTAGTCCAGACCTGATCTGGTGGATTCCCACACAAGGGCTAGTCACTGCATGCCACCCTTACTGAGAAAAAGTATTACAAATGTAAACTTTTTTAATGATATTAATCATGATAACAACATAAAGAGCAATAATTGCTGGTTTCAGAATTAAACCTTGACACTCATTAACAGTAGTTTCCCAAACAGCTCTAGGGACCTCATTCAACCGTGCATGTAGCTTGATCTCACATGAAGTATAAGTGTTCATACTATAGATCAATATCTTGATTATTGCATCACAGAATCTTACAAAGGTGAGCAATACTTTTGACTGCTTTAATCATTTGTATGAAAATAAGATGTCTTACCTTGATTTAACGGTATCCATATCCAGCCTGGTCTTTGTCAATTTCTTCTTTATTTGTGTGATATTTGGGATATCATTCTGTTAAAATTAAAAACATATACAGTTTTGCAAAATAGGATTATGTGCATGTTATGTACAATGTAGATCTCCAAAGGGTTAGAGTGCAGGCAGAGGAAAGGATAAAAACAATAACACCACAAAAATAAATTTCTTTTTTTTCTAAGAATTTTTCAAAGAGATTTTGTTCCTTCACTTCACTAGGGCACATAGTATATTTACTATAGATGACCATACAATGTGTGCACATAGAACACCACATATGATTCAGAAGTTATATATTGTTGAAACACTTGTTCACCTCAAGAAGTGATGTCATGGGTGCTAAGACATCCCGTTCTACTTGCATTTCATACTCTGCAAGTTCTCTTGCCAGTGAAGTCTGTACATCCCCTGATTTCTGCATCACTTTACTGAAAGAAACAGTTTATGCTGTTATCTGTTGGTACATAACCAGTTACACCTTTCACTTCCTTAAATAATCAAATAGGAGTTTATTGAAATGATCACTAGATTTTTGAGCAAAAGGTGATAAGAAGAATGGTAACAAAACAGGAGGGTAATGTTGGATCTAACACCAAATTCTCTGCAGTAAGAAAAAGGGAGAATACCTGGCATGACCAGGTGCAGATTGTTTACCCTGTCCTAATATCATTTAGTATTCATGAGTAGATATTAATTATAATTTATTCAAACTTGGTAATTGCAAATCAATAAGAGAACACTCAAGTGCAAAGATGATGAATAAGAACCATTCACATAACAAGAAATAAGAGATCTAGCTCTCACCCTAAAAGAGAATCTTCACCTAACTGCTGTCCTGATTCTAACATGGTTTGTGCCAAAGCTGTTTGGTGAAGTTTTCTCTGAAAAAAAGAGAAGAGAGACAAAAATTAATAAAAGAAAACAAATCCCAACCAGGAGAAGGCAAAACACAAGGCAGCTGCTTACAAATACTTTAGACAACATACACCAGCATAGAGCTAAAAGAGTAACTAAAAAAGACAAAAGAAATAAGTTTTTCAACTGTTGCTTTGGATTGGTTGATGGCTTCAGCCTCAAGTTTTTACCATGATTATTTTTTTCTTGTTGACAATGTGCATCATAATAACTGCATTATCATCATGCATTAGGCTAGGTGTTATTTTTATGATAAAATAAAAAACATTTGACCTCATTGCTATGCTGTGAGCAACAGATGGATGATGACAAATACTTGTAAGACATTAACGTGTTAGAGCCATTTTGCATTTTCCTATGGTTGGACTGTGAATTCATGCAAGATTAATCCTTAGAAAAATACTGATTTTTTTTTTCTGTCAAATTGTTACCTGAAATGAAAGAAATGTAATTCAAGATTTACAGTTGTAAACCATGACTTTGATGACCATGTAGTTAAACTCGAATTCAAAGACATGAAGCATGGCATAAAAGTTAGTTAGTAAGTCCTTTTCATGCATCTTTGCACGTAAGGCCTCTGCCAGAGAATGCCTTTGATTTCTGTTGGTTTTACTGAAGGTCAAATTACATGAAACAATTATGTAAGGGGGTAATGTATGCATTTAATGTGATGGATATGGTAGATGATTACCATAAGTTCAGATCTCATTTGAGGCCACAGCATAGCAAGATCATCCGAACCACGTAATGACTTGAGGAATAGTACTGCCTACAACAGATAGTAATACCCTCTGAGTGATAGCTTCTAGTGACATTAAAGTCCTTAAAAGATGTCTTTTTCTGCTTTAAGGCAAGCACAAGAGGCAAATCACTCCAGGGAAGGTCTTTCTTTTGAGCTCCTCCCCTCGCATGTGACTGGCCATTAGCAGTTTACTTGTGCTTGCCTCTTCAGCTACCTGTAGGCTTGGTGTCCAATTCTTTGGTTCATGAGACATCACATATTTATAAACCTATTTATAAGAAAATGTATTAACTTGATGACTGAATTAATCTGGGGATTTTCTGTTCTTACCAATCTTTTCTCTAAATCCATTCCAGTGCCTTGCATTGAGGCAGCTAGCCTCTTATTTGTTGTTTGACATGCATGTTTGATTTTGTCAACAGTCTTCTCAACCTTTTAAAAAAATTCATAGTAAATCAAATTAACAAAGTGATTTCATGAGTTCTTCTTGCAGTTACTGAATAATGTACATTAAACACAACCAAAGACTTTTAGGAATAATGAAGTATTTATCACGACTGTGGTGCAAAGAAGATGTCAGAGTTCCACATGAGGATTGTAACCTCAGACCTATATCAATTTAACCTTATGATACGTAATCAAGTGTACTTCAGGAAACTCAGTGACAACATGGGTTATGTATTAGGATTAAATTTGACAGGGATCCAATGTATTGTATACAGTCTGTGCTCCATTTTTTAGTCAAACAGCTCTAATATGGCTCCTTATGATTGACTGATCAGTGAAAATCAGGTGCAGTTGAATAGAAATGCTTTTGAAGAATGTCTACATAAGGAGGCCTAAGGCTGTAAATGTTATGACATGCTTAGATTGTTGATACTGTATGTATCCCTAGCGTGAAATTTCTGAATACAATTTAGAATGAGGAAATTTCATTCCATGCACTGCAATTAACTGTATCATCTTCCTTCGCTCAATTATGGACACAATAATTTGCAAATAATTTGGTATTGTATAATAAGTAATTGATACTAAAGAGCCAGTAGTAGAAAACTTATTATTTTTTTTTGTAAATAAGTATGTTGGATAAGGAAGCTACGTTGATTTTGCTTCAAGCTTGCTATATCTAAAACCTCTGAGTTGCTGCTTTCATATAAAATGCATCAAAGATGTTGGAAACCAAAACATTTGAAATTATTTTATTTCGATTTGTCTGCATATTTGTTAGATAAGATAAAATCATGCAATCAGTGTTTACTCACATGCTGTAGATCCTCTGTTAAAATTTCAGTCTTCTCCGCTCTAAAAATATATTTATATACACATGAAAAATAAAGAACCAATCAAATCATGCTTTACGTGTCATATCAATGAGTGCTAAGTTAGAAGATGTCAAAGAAACGAGTTCTGAAGGAGTCAACTGAGGTTGACTTCCGTCCACTATGTTAACTAATTCATAAAGAGCAGCCATTACCTTCCGACCCTTTGGTCAGCCAGTTGTTTCACACGATAAAACTGTTTCTTCATCATTAAATAATCATCTGTACTCCGCTTTTAACGAAAAAGAGAGAGGAAAACAGAGTATCGGCCAACATTTAAACGTATCACAGAATTTCCGCCATGTTGGTATTTGCCAAAGTGGGTGTGCGCTAGCTTGGGTCAGCGGAAAACCAGTGTAGAAAAATAAAAGAAACGCACGATACTCAAGTCTTGAAAGGATTGCCTTAATAAAGTTCACATCACAAATGCAGATGAAGGAAAAGTAATGTCATAAATTCTCAAGTGTTATTTTCAAATTTCAATCTCGTCCCTAGATTTCTCATTAAGGAAATTAGGAGGGATGTTAGGTGAAAAACAACCCCGGAAATACGTCACATTTTTGACATACGAGTCTCCCAAGGCCCAACCTGAGAAAGTTTTCCCTGTTTCCGGTATAAGGATGTAGCTGTGTATTGTTAAGTTATTATCTTGTATGTGCTTTACGACTTATCCCGCGCGAGTGCTTTTAAATGATGGCAATTCTTTTTAGCACAAAGCTGTGGAAAGGATAGAAATCGGGAAGAAACGCGAGGCTCATTTCTGGTAATTATTTACTTGGAGGGCGCTGAAATTTAACCCATACCTCCCCGAAGGGTAACATTTTCATCCTATCTGATCGCCATGAACTCTACAATTTGTTCTTTCTGTTACAGATTTCCCCGATTTCTTCGCTGTCCATCAGTATGGGAAAATAATTTCTGAAGTGATTTTTTTTTTATTTTAAAAGGCTTACGGTGAATGGAAAAGGGAAGTTCTGCTTGGGAGCAATTGTATCTTCTCTAGCTCAAGGAAGCTGTGGTTTTCTCAAGACTTCGAAAATATTATCGCAGTAAATTATCATGGCGACTCTGTTTCTTCTTGTGGCTATATTTCAGCTGTTAATTCTACGGAAGGCTTTAATTGTCGAAGGTAAGTACTTGGGTACGTGCATTTAGAGCGAAAACAGATCGCAAAGCTTATCAGGTGTTTGCGAGAAAAACAACTTGATTGTAGTCAGAGGGGCCGGTAAAGATTCGGTGGTTGTTTGATATTATTCGGTGACACACTCAACACATTTAGATAGCGTTGGGAAATTTATAGAGTAGAGCTTCTTGTATCATCTGTAACTAGAAAATGACTTCGCTCTCGCAACACTACAAATCCCATTCAGGTACTGTGCCCAATAGAAAGCCTGCCAAACTCGATCTAAAAGCTCGCATTCATTTGTGAACTCAGTCCATTTTTTCCGGTTTGATTGGGTCTTGAGGATTTCCTTTCTCCTGAGGATTGGAAGACACTATTATATATTAGCCCTCAACTAGGAAAATGGAAAGATTTCCGCTATATGAGAAGATTCGTACTTCGAGATAGAAATTACATATTCATTTGAAAAGAACGTTTGTTTACATGAGTTACTGATGTCGTTCAGGACATACGTGTTGCCATTGACGATCTGTTTTTCATCTTGATTTGATATGTATTTGTATGGCAGTTATCGACGCAATTATAGATCAAAACTTCTTCAGATAAAAGGGCGGGCTAAGGTTTGACTATTCAAGAAATGAAGTGAAAAACTTTGAGGGTCCCTGGAGTAAATTACTGATTGGCAACATTCCTCTTTGAGCATTGTCTTATCGCAATATTTTTTTTTCAGTCTCCGGGAACCCAAGAAACGAAGACATCGAATTTTTTATATTGATTTTTAATTTAATGATGCGCGTAATTCTTTCAAATTTTTCTCAGCCGTTCTTATTTTTTTAATGATTCGCTTAGCCAAGCAAAACACTCGTTATATTTAGATATATTGAATGAGTTGTCCACGACTTAACGAAGACATAATATGAGAACCGAAAAGTTGGGAATGTAATTTCTTGATTTAGAGTATGTGTTTGAGGTTGAACGTAAAAACATTATTACTATTGTGTGCACATGGGTTTGTTGAAGTTTTGTGAAAATGTAGAACAGAGTGATCTGAGGTTCGATCCTACTTTTGCATTACATAGTAATGATTAGATTAACAGTTACCCGTTTGTCTGTTTATCCCTAAGTTTATTGGAAGTATTAACTATGTTATTTAGACCACTTGAGCTGTGTGCAGACTGTACTTTATAGTCAGCACTTTGCATTGAAATGAAGGAAATGTTTGTCAGTCTGATTGTCATGACATCTCATTATGGTTCCACTTCAGTGTTAAAATGATACTAACTCATAGCTAAACAATGTTATTATCATTTTGAAACAATCTTGTTGCAGGCAACAATTCATCAGTGTGGTTTAGCAATGCAACAAGTCCTACTTCAAGTAATGGAGTAGATAATAAGCCAATGTCACCAAATACAACCAGCAACTCCACCAGTACAGTTGTGTCAAAATCTACCTCAAAACCAACTACTCAAACCTCAATGACCTTAACATCAGGGCCTGGAGTTATTAAAGGAAGTATGAAGTCTGGATTGAGTTCTGCATCATCCACAGAGAATGATGCTGTTCAGATGCCAGAGAAAACTATAAGTACTAAACCAGTTGTTAGTGACCCATCAGCCACCAAAGAAAGTGATGATGAAGGTGATAAATATAGAAATAGAAAATAAAAGATGTATAAATGGCATTTAGAAAAAGGTTAAGTCTATAGTGACAACTTTAAAAGCCTATTCAAGTGAAGTGAGATGCTGATGTGAATTGTCTTAACTTGTCTGTTGTGGCTTCCATTTCAGTAAAGCCCAAATTAAAAGTTACACATCTGGTTAACAGTTATTATGCTTATAACAAAGGTTATCTGTCTGTTGTGTTACAAACACAATTATCTCATTACATGTAAATTAGTCTTTCAATCATCATCTTCAATATGCATCAATTTTGGATTTGGACCTCTAATGACTAAGTAAACCTGATGTTGGTGGTCAAGTTATTACATCAAAACATATTTTAAATTAGTTTAATTGTTTAGTTGGTATTTTATAATCTTAATGGGACTCCATGATTTTGTAACAAAATATTGGTATGTTCTATGTGCTCCACCCAGTAATTACATCCTTATACCACCCATGCAATCCTGTTATCTACTTCCTCCATTATCTTTGTTTTTCCTCTTTGGCTGGTCATGTTAGGGTATTGTTACAGCAAATGACCGTGATACTTTTTAAAAGTTCTTAATGTGTTATTCAATTAAATCCTATTCAATTTAAATATCTTGTTACAGGTGGAGTTCCATATTGGGTCTACATTCTCATAGCTTTTGGAGTGATCTTTGTCATCACTATTGTAGTGTGTGTCATTTATGCACGGCTGGAAAGGTGGTGAGTGTGGTTGTTACATCCGTATGGCTTTTATTAAAATTAATAATAGTAAGTTGCCTGACTCCATGTCTATTTTGCAGCATTAGGTTAGCTCCTCTTAATGCTTGTTCTATTTTTGTAGGAAAACCCAGGGTTCATACATGGTTTGGGATGACAATGAGCTAGAGTTGAGCCCTGCTTTCACAAGGTAAATATAAACAGTTAGAACAGGAAGTGAGAAAGATGATTCCATTCAAATAATATTATCTTTAGGACACTCGACTTTGGTGAGTGATTGATCAAAAGGAGGGTTTTGCATAGGAAAAGAGCTCAGTTTGATAATGAAAATTGACCATGAGAGGGACAGTTGTGAAAAGTTTGAGCCAATCCTGTCATGCATGAGAATGCCAAGTTGTTCTCATAAGTTAGTTTGAAAAAAGGAATATTTCTAAACAGGAAGGTCCTTCTTAGTGCTAAGTCCTCAAGTTAGTTAGTAGTTGATATCTTGTCAGTATGTGTAAGTTAGATGATATTTTGGTCCAATCAGTGTGTTTTTCAGGAAGGTGAGAATGTAGATGTCATATGTTTTTTGAAGGGCCATATAGACTCAGAATATTTTTTGTTACCTGTTGGATATAGCTGTCAATAAGGATGCATTTCATTATTGTTTGTTGTTCAAATATTGTTTTTATTCATTATGGGTCTAAACTAGTAAATTAACAGTTAACAGGAAAATGCAATTTTGACAATAAAAATATAATACCATGGTATCACTATAACTGATGTGATCATTTGTTACCTCTTTTTATCACAGAGAGTCAGAATTCCTCCTTGATAGTTTGGCAAGTAAGTTTGACAAATTTGTAAAAATTGTACAAAGTTCTCAAGCTGTAAATTTTTTTCTAAGTGCAACCTGTCACTGATAGTACAATGTGTCATTTCTTGTAAGGTCAGCTTGTATAATCTGTCTCATTTAATATGCTTGGCAGTGTATACCAATCCTGATCACTTCAGTGATTTTCAACGATGAAGTTAAATAAGTTTGAATTAGTTTCATTCATTATCTTCTTACTTTTCAACTCTTTTTTTTTTTAATCTTTTGCAGCTAATCAAGAACCAGGGACTCCTGAACTTCAGATATATGAGATTCCTTTGGACTCACTTGGCCACCAACGAGTATACATAGGAACAAAACGAATTGCGCCCAAAAGTGAAGAACACAGGGAAGCTGTGAAGTTTACTAAAAACAAGAAGTCAAGAAAGAAGGATGCACAGTTTCAAGGAAACACTCTGCCAAGGGCAGGGAAAAGGGATCATATTTACAGCTCAGTGAATGATGAAGTCAGCAGTGCCCTAAGTGATGGTAAAAGAGAATACTTTGCAAGTTATTGAGTTGTAAAATTTGATAGAAACATCATAAAAATGCATCTAAAATATTGACATGTGTTGTGATAGCTTTGTACGTGGTTTCAAAGGAATCCTTAATTGACTTAATGATACTGTATCCATTAATCTGTGTATTGTAATGGCATCTCAAACAATTAGACAAAAATGAGGCTCTGTATTATGCCTTGACCATTTAGGGACCTAAAAGGTTGTGTGATTTATCCTCGTTTATCTGCTGAATATGTTAAAACTCCTAAAACTAAAAGTTATCCATTGATTCAGACATCAAACATTAATATAGAATAATATCCCAAAATTCATATTTACATAAGAAGGCATTCTCTCGTTGAATTTTTTAAATATAGTTCAGTGTAGCTGACGTTACTGTTTTCACAATTTTTGTTTATTCTTTCAATGAAATTAGGCCTTTAAAAAGCTCGGCAATTTTGAGGGAAATTTTTTAATCATTGTTCTTTTATTTTTATTCAAATGGTGAACATTTCAATATTTCAATAATTTCATTGCAGGAGACCTTTTCGAGGGCAGGAATGTTAATGGGTGCACCACGCCTCCTGTTATATTATCCTGCCAAACCTTGGGTAAAAGCAGCTCACTGAAACCCATGTTCAATGGCCGATCACCCTCTCCAGAGGAGTTAGATCTGAAGATAAGATCGTTCACACTTGGTTCACGAACAAAGAGTGTATCAAACATATTTCAGAATAGGCCATTACCACCTGCTCCTAGTAAACGTTTTTCAAAGAGCCTTGATCGATTGCGGTTTTTTGAAATCTCGCAAAACAGGGGAAAAAGTGGAACGTACCCATCTCATCAGAAGTCACCGCCCATGCGGGCCCATCCAATGTTGGTGAAATCGTCCAGTTTTGGAGGCACATACAACAAAATAATCTGTGGATCACCGTCATTGCCACCTGTGCCACCACCACCAAGAAAGGGCTCGATGGGTTGCATCGACAAATTGGCAGCATATGATATTAGTGATGCCAGGAAAACTAACCTATGCCGCAGGCACTCCAAGTCTTTAGACACTCTTCTACTTTTGAGAGAAATCAACTGGACCGCCTTTGACGTGGACATTTACCACCCTTATGAAAGTGTACCGGGTAACCAGGTGGGTGAGAACAACAATATTGTGGAACCTTCCTATGCAAGTGTTAGCAGTGATGAGAAAGCGTCCCGCAGTGAAAGCAGTGGAAGAGCAAGTTCTCAAAGCAAGGCGAGCACTCGGTCTGCAAGTCCGATAGAGAGTGACACGCCAGAAGATAATGCTGAAGAAGATCACCCATACGCAAGTGTCACCGAGGATAACGAAAGGCCAAAGACCGGAAGCCTAAATGGGTGGGACCAGCGGTATTCAAATCGTGATAGCGATGGAAGAGATAGTGGAGTCTCTTCCGCCATGCTTGAGCCTGACAGTGATCCTGCTTCCCCATATGCTTCGGTGAGAATTAGCCAGATTCCAGGATTGGTCGCGTCACAGTGTCGCTCCTCAACGGGTGAAGAAAGCAACTATGGGGAGGTCTTTGAAAAGGAGGATTCTGGGTCGAGTATAGGTACTTGCAAGGATCTTAAAGAATGTGTTGACTCTAAGCGATCTAGCACTCATACTTACTTGGAGCTCATTCCGGACAGCTGCAGAAACAGTGTGGTATCGGAAACTAGCTCAGGCTATGCACGACCAATAGATATTATTTCAAGTAAACCAGACGCGTCCGATAGTACGGAATTAGATAACAAGAATCGTCAGAGTTTAACTGATCTTCAGATCCCCAATGAGAGATCTGGCACACTGGAAAGTACTTGCAGTGGCCGTGATACTCTTCCCTGTGCTTTCAACAACAAGGGGATTACATTGATAGTGGAGGATAATTTGCAGAATCATGAACGCCGGGACCAAACGGATGAATCGCGTGTTGGTCCATGTGAGAAAGAATCGACAGTGTCAGAATTGTCGTCCCAGGAACCTCAGGCAAGTGACGTGGTTGAAAATGTCGATGGTACTAAAGGAGACCCTGAACAACAGGGTGCATCCTTAAGTCCAAGTGAACACGTTTATGAGGAAGCAGACTACGTTCAAAGTCTAAGGAATCTAGAGAGATGCAAGCGGTCAGACTCAACGAGCAGCGACACTATTGTGAACATTCAAGGAGTTAACTTACGAGGAACTTGTCATACTGATGAGTTTGTGGTGTAAGATCCATTCTGTCCATGACAGTTTCAAGTATTTAACGTTTCATGATGTACGTTGTTGAAGTCAATAGCTCAAAAAGTCGGTGTACAATAGAAATTAATAACAGTTTTTAGACTGTAACACGCAGAAACTCAAAGGCTACAGTTTTTAGGTACTTGTTGAGACGTGGAAACAGTTGGTATCACAAACGCGAATCATTCTCGCAATGTGTAGGCTGAGTATCTGTACAGTAATTGCAAGGAAAAGGCAAGGAGGTGCTCCACTAAATTAACCTGGGTGAAAAAAGTTTAAACTTGTTTTTGTATAGAAAGTAATATGCGGCTGGTTCGTATATAGGTAAGCTATACATCACTGAGCTGGCCTCATTGCTGAATGTGTATGATGTGGAGTGTTTCCTGGCCTGTATTTGTAATAGCGATTGGGATTGAAGAGGGACTTTTTTTATGCGTAAGTAACGGGTGAGGGGGGAGGGGGCAGGCCCTCTCCTCCAGTCTTCACTCTAAATAACAAGCGTGTTAGATTTTGAGTACGCATCAGATAGTCGGAGAATATAACTGAGTTGGAATTATTTTAACTCGATATGCAGACACGTACAGATGTCAGTCTTGATATTATCACTTGTTCTGAGTCTTTTGCATACATTCCGTATCATATAACCAGAATCGATGGTAAGTCTGTTTTGGCTTTACGGGATATGAATTACATTTGTTACACAAAATTGATGTCAGAGTGCAAATATTATGTGTTATTTAGTTAGCCTCCAAGAGGTGATAGAATCGGTGGACGTTAGTAGCTTTATCAAAAACGCACTCAGATGGTAAAAACTGGTCTTAGCCCTTGAAATGGAGAGACCTTGAGTTTCAAGGTTAGGTAAGGGGAACACATCAAACTAAAAATAATGAATAAAGCTACTTCAGTATGAAGAGAGAACATCGAATTGCTTCGTTGCTTTTCCATCAACCATGTAGTAAAGGCCTGAAGTAAATTGGTTGACGACTAATTTATTCTTGTTTTTTCGTCGCCATATTCCCACCAATCGCGTAACTCCATTTAAACCCACACACACAACCCGCAATTCCTCCAATCGCCCTGACGAAGGGCTAACGCTCGAAACATCAGCCTTTAAACTCTTTACGGTGGCCAATTTACTTTTTCAACTCAGTTGATAACACTAAATTACCCTGTTATACTCTCCCACCGACGCAGCACCACAGTTGCATCAGAAACTTACCTCCTTCGGTAAAACTACAGATGTCTTTCGTTCAAACTGTGGGGAAGTAGACTCGTATTGGAAAGTTAAGGTTTTTCTCCGTCGGTTTATATTTCTGAAAATTTGTCGTTTGGAAAAAGCAAAGATCTTTTGGCAGAGCGAAGTTGTAATCAGCTGCACCTTTGTCAGTATACTGCAAGGTTATACCGGCAAAGCCAATCGTCGACAGGTTTCAGGTGATTTTCTTGCCTTCCTCCTCTGGAAAACCGAAGCGGAGTTTGAGGTGTAACAAAGCGCGCCACTCTGAGCTAATGAAATTCGAGTATTTTAGTGCGCATTTCAATTGCGACGCGGATGGCAATCCTCCTTAAGCAAAAACAGACTTAATTGAATGAGGCAATTGTATTGTAAGTCAGGTTACTTTTCTAACAGCTAGTTTCGTTTCGTGACCAGTTTACAGTATTGTTGGTAGTGAAATTTATATATTTTCAAGCTCAAAGAAAGCAGTCGACAACTGGGGGTTATTGGATACCGAAGGAGTTGAAAACTTGCGTTAATTTCAGGTAAGGTTGCACGAAACAAAATTCATTTTCTTTTGTAGTTTTGAAAACTGAACTGTCTTTTCACCCCTAGTAGATATGAGAACCTTTCACCTTCCTCGAAAACCAAAAATAACTAAAACCAACATGTTCACTATCCAAGTTTACCGTGCAGCGAGTGGTCTTAAAGGCTTCGTGAGTTAAGAGTAGTACAAGAAAGATTATTAACTCGGTTCACAGCGCGCTTTCAACTGTTTGAACATTTGGCCCTGTTTAGGTAAGGACACTTTTCTCCACAGTTTTTTTTTCTTGTTCGTAGAATTAACCCAAAATGCACGTAAGAGATTTCACTGAAAAACCATTTATGGGGTGAAAATTTCCATCCCCGGACAACTTGAAAGGGAAAGAAACTGAAATAAGATTAATGGAAATAAAAAATTAAGAAAAGTAAAATACATTCGCATTTCACATTTATTCTCCAATTTTATGGTTACATCTCCTTTTGATCCATAATTAAAGTACTACACTTCCATAAGTTACACTGAACTTGTATGAAATAATTTAATTGAATACCTATTTGGTTACCTCGATATGAAAATAAAAATCAACATCAATGCTTTTTTTACTTCTCCCTCATAGTTTCTTGGGTTACTTGATCATCTTTTCATATTTTTTTTTGTTACTCCTACATATTCGATTTTTCATATTATTTAGTTAAACATTTCTGAACTGAGCACTTCATCCTCTAACATGTCCTAACAACATTAAGCGCTACCTACACCTTTTTATCTCTTTTATTCTTAACACCTTACTTACTTTAAAAAAAGCTGGAGACTTGAACCATTCAAAGAAAATTAATTTGCCACATGAACTGAAGTGTACTTCAGATTCATTATGTTATGGCAATAAGATGCAGAAAACATTAGAAAAAAGAAAAATTACAAGATTTTTTAAATGTGCTGGAGAAAAAAAACCCAACTTTAAGTGGTCAATTTTTTTTGCTGGTCATAATTAACATAGTAAAGTTAAATAATAAATCCATTTCTTCATGTTATCAATGGCTACTTACACATGACACCATACCCCATCTTGCAACTAGTTTTTATGGAAAAGCAACCTCTGAATGGTTATTTAATAAACATTTTTTATGACTGTATCTTTTAATCCAATTTTAATCAATACATGTATATGGCTTTTGGCAAGTCTCAAAACAGTTAAAATAATAGGTAAGAATCTATAATACATCCTAACTAATTTTTCCATAAAAGCCAAATAACCCTCACTGAATTTGTGTATTTAAATTGAAGTAAGAATGATATCAAATGAATATATTAATTAATATGTTCTGAAGTCAGTTACATCACTGCCTGTTTCACAGGAAAGAGCAATCTTAGTTGCTCTAGGAAGATCCAAGTAATAATTGTGTGAGGTGCCAAACGTACCCAAGCTGGGATAAAACCCTATAAATGGAGGGAAAAAAAAGCATTAAGGGTTACTAAAACAGAGCACTTTCAACTGGTGAATGATATATCAAAATTTATCATGCAACATTTACGCCATTTTACCATATTAAAAGACTGGAATGAGCAAAATATACCACAGGATTACACTGTAGACAGGGTAAATATACTGGCAGAAAGCAGCAAATTGGCCACACTGAACAATCCAACCTTGAATGATCCAACCTTTGCTTGTAATTTCCTTGCTCAGAAAAATACTACTCACCTCACAAAAATATCCACTTGTATTATATTAATCAAATCATCAAATAGGGTGTATGTATGGTACTGAGAAGTAGCTCAGAAGCCACATCAGAATTTTTCATGGCATTATTACAAGAGCTTCTTCTCTCCTAACAATAGTTACCTTATAAAATCCCATAGGTCCAAGTTTTGCTGTAAAAAGTATACAGTGGGCCACACTCTGTAAGAAAAGGGGAAAATTACATGTACACACCATCTATACCAAAGCATCTTTAGAAATGTAAATTAAAGTAACTGAGAGGTTTACTTGTAATAAGAATATTTCTTCTTAAATAGAGTTTACCTTGTACTGCCCAGGTTTTGCTTCCATAAGTCTTGTCTTCATAACATCAACAGGTTGTGTAATGCTTGTAGCAATAGTACCCTACACAGACATTTCAAAAGTTCATAATTCAAAAAGAATTGAAATGGTATCACAGGATTTAGACTACAACAACTAATCTCCCAACAATTAAGTACCTTGACTGTAAATAAATTATAATAAGTTTCAAATTGACACAGCAAGGGATCAACATTGTCATGCAATGACATATATTGCACACTGTCTCCAAACATATATTATTAAATCAATGGATTGTGATAAATGTAAGTCTCTTTGTGGCAAAAATGTTTATTGTTTTTAAATGGAAATGTCTATGGCTTCCTAAAAAAGGTTAATACATCTGTACCTTATGGTCTAAAAAAGTTCTTTGTTTAAATGAGTTATTCTTTTCCTATCTAGTTTCTCTTACCGCTATAAAACTTGCAGTGAAATGTGCAACAATGTTGTCTTTAAAATATCTACAAAAGAAGCAATATATGATCTTTGTTGTACCAGAATTGGTTTGTACACATGTATTAGCAAGGGAAAAACCCCAATATAACTTTGTCACAGATTCTAAAAATGCTGAGAGTAACTCTTAGTATTTCGTAAACATTAATCATTTTGTAACACTTACCCTGATGCAAGTAACAGCTGTTTTGCTTGATCATAACATGCAACCTACAGAAGACATGGCAATGGAGAGCAGGTGATAAAGAATATCACTTTGTGCTTCTATATCAATTTGGTCTACAAGGCTGGTACTTACTTTTTAGTAACTACATGCAGCTGTAATTTTAACACCATTTAACCTAAATAAATGTACAATTGATTTGCAATTGATCAAATAATGACCATTCTCCAATAGTAAAAGTCGTTAGCTGAAGTCTTGTGCTTATTTGGTCCAAAGAAAATTGTATGACATATTTGAATATGTACCTGAGCCACAGTCATCAGGAGAGCTCTAGATGAGGTCATTGTAACACCTTTCATCCAAGTTGACACACCCTCTACCAATAATCAATTCAGACACAAAAGTATTACTTAAAAAAATTAAACATGTTCAGACAATTTTTTTCAAAGGAAAGGGTTACGAACTTTAACCCTTGACCCCCTAGGAGTGACCAGCATCTAACTTCTCCTTACAACATCCCCCCTGAATCATACACTAAGGTCACAAGAATAATGAAAATGATCACCAACTAAAGAGACTCTTGATTGTTAAACAAATTCTCCTTGTTAGTACATTTGGAGTTACATAGATAACAGTATGGAGAATATGCATACTGATGCTAGGGTGTGAAGGGTTAAGAGAGATCAAGACCAGCACAGCTCACTGCACTTAAGTGACTTCTTAAAAGAACACAAATAGTTTCAATTATTTCAGCTAGATTACATACCTTCAGTTGCTGTTCTATAGAGGCCATCAAACACATGCTTATAACTAAAAAAAAAAAGAGTTACACCAACTTTTTACTGGCTGAATTAAATATGTAAAACTATTGAACATGTATGTGTACTGAATGGGGAAACTTACATCTCAAAAAATCAAGTATTATCACATAAATCCACTCAGAAACCTTACTTTCTTCGAAGTGCTTTATCAAGTGTTTTGACATCATTTTGCATTCTGTAAAATGAAAGAAACAAGAAATAATGCATACAGTTGGACAACACAACAGTGATTATCATAGGACAACTAGGAATCACAGATGCATCCTTCCTGTGTAGTCAAAAATAATGTGTCATAAACTTACATCCACTAGGGAAAAAAAGAGAGGCTTATGAACCAGAAAATCCATACTGCCAGAGCTTATCTGAGTTTTATTAGCATGAAGGGAATTCCTACCTCTCCCACTTTGCCCAGTGACAAGGTCAGAACTCTACCTCTCATTTTATGCAGAGTCCAGTGTACTAACCACTAGGATACCATTAACTGATTGAATAACACTCAAAATTGAGTTAAATGGCAGATGTTACCCTTATCTGACTTTGGTACATACCTAACATTGACCATATCTGCAGGGTTGCCAACAATTCCACCCAAGAAACCTAACAGAGATATTTCATATAATTTCAGTTCCAAAGCTCTTTTTTGCTTTCACACTAACAACACAAAAAAAATTGTAACAACTGATCAGCAATAAAACTATCCACTTTAATTTATAACTACACAACTTACCTGATACTGATCCTATTACAACTTTCTGGTAAAAAGGTAGTGGCTCTAGAAGGAAAAGAAATAGAGCCTCTAGTATTTTAAATTTGTTTGGCCATAAAGGCTAGTAAAAAGGTAATAATAAAAACATGCCAGGGTTTTCCACAAGTTATAAACAACAACTAACAGAAAGTGGACTCTGACAATACTTTGTCTCCCCCCTTCCCCAACTCTATTCATTTTTTAAGGTAATCATTATAATAAGCATTCATCCAAAGTACCTCACTACCGGGAAAAACCTTGTAATACCTGACAATATTACAAGTCTCCAAACTCTTCCAACAAACCCCAGGTGGTGTGCTACACTACATGTAAAGTCATTGATGTAGTTTCAGCTTATACAGCTTATAACAAACTTTAGCAAAATATTTCGACTTATTTAATCAAACACTGTTTATTTCACAATTATTTCTCAACGAGACACACATAACCTGTTTTGTTTCTTCACTGAAAGTTAAAGATTTTTTCCCAATACCCTTTACCTAAACTAGAAAAAAAAATAATTACCATTTCCTTTTCTTAACTCTGCAGAGACCACTTCATACAATCCATAACGTGTTGTGGAATAAGTAAGCTACCAAAAACAAACATAATTATGAGTGTATTCATTAAGTGGCTTATTTAGAACTAACCAATTCAGAATGATTATCATGAAATTACTCCAAATGTATTAAATATTTTCCTGAAAGTGAACTGACCATGAGTTAACTGCTAATTACTAATAACAAGCTCATTCCATTTGTTCCTTTGCTGTGTCTAAGAATTAAGCATTGTGGAGATCAATTAGTTGAGACATTTAAAACTAAGCTTCCATAATACCTCAGTCTAGACAAATTTATTACTTCTTGATGATGCCCTAGTTCTCTCAGACTTTTGAAGAAACATTCAAAAACACCCCATTCTTACATGATGAGTTATGCTGTAAGACATACTGTAATTCTATGTTGAAATATTTTTTTACATCTTTCCGGTGGCGTAACACACATCTTATGCAACTATGTTTTAAGCATAGGTAATAACATAGTTTTAACTGCAATTTGGTGTTAATAAGCACAAGTAAATTTTTCAAAGACAACTAAATTGCAAGAGCCTGTAGAGCCAGTGCAATTTGTAATAAATTTGTAGTTTATTTGTGTTACAACTTTGCACTCATGTTACATGAGAATGTGCTCATTTTCAGCTAATTAGAAGTGTGTACTTTTTTCCCATACATTATTTCATGAAATAATTTCAATAGTGATATCAACAGTAAAGCTTTCTCCAAAATCGTATTTAAATAGCCATTTTCATGGCCACATCTCACTTCCATACCTGTCTCATGACAGAGGCTGACAGTCCATTGTAAAGTGCAAATACACCCTGTGTTTGAACAACATGAACTGCCATGGACAAAAGTCTTTGTTTAACCTGTTGCTGTGTCTGTAAATGAACCTGACAGACAAGTGAGGAGGCATAAATAAATTTGTTTTAAGAAATAGAATTAAAAATAATATAATCATAAGTTGGAGAACAGTAGGATGGCTGCAGAGGAAAGAGCTGAAAAAAAATAGGATTTCTCGTTCTTTCATTTCATTAGGCTGTAAAAAAAACATTTAAATATGATTTATTATAACAAAATAAAGATTGAATAAAAAATTTGACCTTATTGAACGAATAAAAAAATGAACTCCTGTAAAAGGTGAAATTTTATTTCATAATCATCACAAGGATTGCTGTAAAACTTGGTCTGTATTTACTTCATTTGAGATGTCAGCACTGAACCAAGTTGAAAGAAAACAACTTTATTTTAAATTAATGCAAGCAGTTCGCGCATGAAATCTTCGCCATTTTTCTCGGGATAAAATAAAGCCAGTATTCTCTATCCACTTTGAGACTGAGAAGGGAATACTTTTAACGATTTTTTAAGGACATCGAAGTGTCACGCCAATTTCACTATTAAAGGACAAATCTCCATTTGGAACAAAAGATAGTTCGTATCAAACATAAATAAGAAAATACACAACACAAAACGTTTCAATTTATAAAAATACTTGGGCCTTTCGTCAGCAAGAACTGAGGCAGAATAAAGAATACACCACAGTACTACCCAAAAATAATCCTTAAAATAACCGTCCACGCCTTAAGATTGATCACTGTTTTGATGGTGTAAATTACCTTGAGCAAATCCAACGGATGTGTGACACAGGCTGCCATGGCAGAAGCGATTCCTCCAAGATACCATTTGTGTTTTTTAGCCGTTACTTTTACAGCCCCGGATGGCTTGACACCTTCTTTCACTTGAGCTGACATTCTTTCGTCGAAGAACCGAGTGAACTACAAAATTAACAACGTCACTTCGCCTTCGATCACATATCATGTTTTCGCAACGCTGTCTCGTGGTCAAACCCCCCATGCGTGTTCATTCGAAACGACAAAGCCTGGTTACCAATCACTGGGAAAACTCTTGACGTCATGTTTTCCGTTCTGCGTTCACGAAGACTCTGTTTCGAAGTGTATTGTGTCGTTTTTCGTCAATTGTGATCTCCTATTTTTAAAAAAGCGGGTCACATGCATTGATTTTGTATATTTTAAAATGATCACCGTCAAATAGATGTGAAGCAGAGAACTAACAAGTTGTCCGAACGTGTTTACAGTTTCTGTATGGCTGCCAACAGTGACTATAAGTTATGAAAGTGATATTGTTGTTTGTTAATTTTTTTCTACCATCAAATGATCCGCAGTAACGAGACAAATTTGCCGAATGTGTCTCGTGTGTTGTACCTAGGATATATTTGTGTTTTCGGGGAGTGAAGACGGTGTTTCCAGCGAGATTGAAGTTCAAAGCACAAGTTATCGTGATACGGCACGTTCAGCAGGGCATGACGAGATAACCTTCAACGACACGTTAACGACACAAATTAATTCGTCTCCTCGGTTATGTTTTTTTTAGGGGGAAGGAAGGGGGGAAGGGGGGTGAAGAATGTGTTTCCAGCAAGATTGAAGTTCAAGATAAGTCATCGTGATACTGCACGTTCAGCAGAGCATGACGTGATAACCTAAGCGCGTGGTTAGAACGTGGGGGATGCTTTTTTTAATACACGTGTCGTTGCGCACTTGGAAATTCCATGAAAAACTGCGAGTTCTTCAACAGGGATCGATTAAAAAGCGCCTTTTTGTCGTTTTTACCGTCTTTAAAAGCTAGAAATCACATCATGATTCGCTTTATACTGTCAGAAATCATCGATAATTTCTGCAATGGTTAATCCAGGCCGACTATGTTTTCAGGCCATAACCACAGCAAAAATGCTGGATTTGGGTGTCAACGATTGGGAGAGAATGATAGATCGTTTATAAATTAAGCCAAGAAAACTCTTGTATCTACCACAGCTGGCAGGTTTATGTCTTACACAATTGCCCATTGTTCTTGCTGTGAAAGCGAGACAAACAGATCTATTCATAGAAGAAGAATAGATAATGGAGTTCTCAGAGGTTCTAGGTCGAACTCATGCAGGTGACCATACCACTAAACTTTAAGATTCCGGTTGGTAGAAGGCATCGGAATCTTGATACCAAAAGTCAGATACTAAGCAATTCTTGCCTAGTCGCTAGTCCAACTTACGGTCTCTTTTAAATAGCCGTTCAGCTTGACATATTCTATTCTTTCGTAATGTTTCACGCCTATGGCTAAAATTTTATCGTCTCTTTTCATTCCAATTTATCTGTCATGGGTTGTAAATCAAACACTCGAAAACTTATATTGATTTTTAACCCTAATAGCTAAACGGGCGGTTTTTGAAGTTTTTTTTACTTATCTATGCCTGAAAGTTTCTTCTGCGGTAGACTCCATCCATCCAGAGGAATGCTCGATGACTACTACTTATGTTCATTATCGTGTAATACTCTGCCAAAAAAAAAAAAAAAAAAGCAGAAGGGGATTAGTCAGAGAGACACCCTACATTGTACCCAACTGATTGAAAAAAAAACTATATGCAATTGAATACAAACAGTATTCATTTTTTCGTGGCTCAAACTGAAATTGAAAACCCAGCACTATTTTACTGAGCTGGTTGCCTTTTGCAAGATGTCCGATGCATCTGGTTTGAACATGACGCTTCATCAATTCAGGTTAGTGTAACGAATTTTACCCCAAGACTGGTTTAAAAATTGCTTAGTTTTACACTGGGATGGACGGGATAGTTAATCTTAAGCCTCAGTACACACTAGTGCATTCATCTTTCAAAATTCATCTTTCGAAAACCATGGTTCTGCTCAAGCCTGCTATCCTACTGATCATTAGCAGATGTTGACGATGCCGTTTGATGTTCATATCATACTGTTAGCAATAGAATACCTCTGAAGGTTTTTTTTCAAAGTTACACTGCTCTTTCATTAGATGATATGGCTTTTTTTTTTCTCTGAGTGCACTAATAACTACACGTAAGATGTGCAAAGGTGTGTAAGCCTATTTTGTAAATGCTGGGAAGGCTGGCCTGATCGTGTGTTTTAAATGATAACCAGATCAGTGCGGGGGATATATTAAACTGTCAAGATCTTGCCTCTACAGGTGTCAAACACTTTCCACCCCTGGCTTATGCTATCTCATAGGACTTACGTAGTATATTTTGTCTTAATCATCTTGAAGGTTAATCGGCGTCAAGGTGTGAAAACTTTAACCTTGAAGTTATATAAAAAAAATTACTATGTTTATCAGTAATCCGAAACAGTTGTAATACTAGTGGAACATATAAAAGAATTTTATATACAACAAGATATAGTTTAGGGTTTTACATGGGTGTGATCTATTGATAGTTGAGTTACTCTAGCTGACTCTTTTCATACAATTAGCTGCACCTTCTCCGGAAAAACACGATGTTATCTAGTTTAAAATTTAACGGATGAAGAAAACAAAGAGTAGCTCATTTTCCCCAGATTGAGTCAGGTAAACTGACGAGACTAATTACTTAACAAGTTGAAATATCTCTTCTTATGTCCTTGCTCGTGTCTGCGAGTGAAAGGAAGTATCACCGTCGATCTCTTCACAGCCCTACCGCCGTAGTATAAGTACGATCACGCCCCTAGACGACCCTTCCTCAGTTAAAAAGTAAAGAACAAGTCTCGTGAGTATTAAATCGATATTCGCAGCAATGAACATAACTAAATTCAGGCCTGTGCGGTATTTGAATCTATGACCTCTGCGATACCGGTGCAGTTCTCTACCAACTGAGCTAACAAGCCAGCTGGGAGCTGGTCATTATGTTGGTTCATAATAAGCTCAGTTCACATATATGACTTCCATATAAACACAGTCATTGATTCATCACTTCACGGGTTTATTAAGAACCGGTTAATTTAATTCATTTTTCTTTTTTACTGAGGTATGATGAGTAAAAAATTAAAAAACCCCAAGCTTTCAAGAGATCAAGCTAAGGTGAGATGATCAGTGCGTTTTTTGTTCATGCTTGCAATTGGGTGGGATGAATTAAGGACTGTTTTAATTCCACAGACGTTGACAGTTTGTCCTTTGCTAATAGTGCCATGCATCAACCTCTCTGGTTTTACTTTGAATTCATATTTCGAGCCTGTTCAATTTCCCATGTTATTTGACTCGGAAAAGAAATCTGGTATAAATGCGATTCTAGTTAGATCATGTTTTTGGGAATTTTGCCATCAAATGAAACGTAAGTGACAAGATCAGAGTAGATAATATTAAACAAACTGTTTGTTGAATTTTTATTTAAAATCCGGATTAAGACCAGCTTAAAGGAACTTTTTATGAAGTTCTATTAATAAATCGATTTGAGTCAGATTTTGTTTGCCTCATGTGAAGTTTAACGACTAGATTAAACATGGGCAATTGACTGTTTTTCAAAGACGATCTAATCTCTACATTTGTGTTTCAAGTACGTGTCAGAAAACCTTGTTAACTGTTTAGGGCCTTGAAATTTTTTAGACACTTGAAATTGAAATAGAACTAGCTAATTAGCACCTCTTTTATGTTCATACTCCAACATCGACAAGCTTTTTTGACTTCGTTCCTCCTGCTTTTAAATTCAGATCTTTTCATCATACTTCGTCGCTTCTCTGGTTATATCTGACACTACTCAAAACTATTAGTTTCAACAGATGTACAGGTAACCTGGAAACAATCTGAAACGAGTTGAGGAGTTCTCTTGTTGAGTAAAGGGACAAAGTGAGGAGATTAAGGACAGAAACACCTTCTGTCACCATTTCAGTTTCAAACTGGGCACAGCAGAATGTTTATGAACCGGACTTTCCGCCAAGTGAGACTGCTTTTATTTCGTAGGTTACGCTTACAAAAAACGATCTGATACATGAACATAAAATCGCACATTGTTGTCTGGAAAAAAAAAAAAAAAAAAAAAAAGGAAAGAAAGAAATGAAAGTTGGATTTTTTTTCTGTTCCATCCAGGGAGGCGTCTTGATAAATAAGTGGTGACCACCAGGGCGAAAAAAACAACAACTGCCGATGGACAAACCCAAATTTTTCTAAGAGAAAAAAATCCCCCTATCTTTGCTGGCACGTTATCTTGATCGGTCGGAACATTTAAGTCTACAAGGCGATAAGAACTGAGATAGAAATAGCGATAGTCGTATTTAATATATCTTCAGCAGAGAAGAATAATCAACTTAATGAACTAACCTGTAGAAAACCATTGGATTTTTGGCATTTTTACAGAGATAATGCCCCCTAGCCATTCTCCATTTCTAATGAGAATCGGAGGATTATCTCTCTACAGTAAGGTAAGAACTGCTGTCACGCACCGAAGGAGACAAACTCCCATCACAGCGCTTGTTTAGATTGGATTAACAACCTTACAGACAACCTTTAGAGCTGCCCTTATCAGATGGAGATTTAAACACCTTGTTGAAGTAGTCTTAGTTCGCACGAAGGATTCGCAGCACCATTTTCGAGAGAGTTCAACAAGCTGGTTCAAACAGCCACAAGAGCGATGAACGTCCTTTGAGAAATGAAAATACCCTCCGGTTTAAACAAAAGCAACCGGATCAATTACCAAGATTCCGATAACTTTCACATGGAGGAATGTCTAATACGTATTAAAAATAATCCATCCTCCATCCAGGCGAGCTGGGGCGTCTGTGGCATACCATTTTCTCAAATTGTGCCAAAGAAGATCAGTCAGCTCTAGGAAGTGCCTTGTGGGTACATAACCTTCTGAGAAGCCGTAGATTACCCAACATTTCAATCTCGTTCTCAGTGCAGTGCTTCAGGCTTTGTTTAGAAGAAGACGAGACGGAAAAACCACACAGGTAAGCCATAAAACACGTATGTGCACATTAATATCAGTTAATATTTGTGATCTTTTCTACAACAAATGACAGCGTCAGTCCAATTGTGGTAGATTAGGGAAATTGCATTTAATAGAACAAAATGAAAGAAAGGCACTTAAGATGGTAACTATGTTTCAAAACACTTAAAGAAAGTTGTTTGTATCGGAAGACTTTGCTTCTGCGACCAAATTCCTCGAGCTTTGTTCTCTGTATTCGATTTCATCAGGATCATACATGAACTGGTTGTCCCATTTGATATAGGGTGATTTAAAACAATGACTTATCACGAAATGCAGTGGTAGG